CACCACCACCTTTTATACCCCCACTGCATGATTTTATGACTATTGGAAAGCAATGCTTAATAGCCTTTTGACAGCTACACTCACATTCATTTTATTCGATCCTATTCGAAATACAGGGTGGTCCAAAATCATGTTGACAGTGTGTGCATGCGAATATATCCATTTTTCTGATTTCCTTTTCCTTTCCTCTGTTCTCTGCATCAAGTGAAAGAGGAAACCACGTCACAGTACTCCACACTTCAAATTTTATCGAGAAAGGGCTCTGGTACGCTACAGCTAGCGTCAGGTAAAAGTGACAAGAGGTTTGTGCGAGCTACAGTTGAGTGCTTCAATAAGTTTGGATCTACTACGGATGGAGAGATGGAGATTAGAAGCTTACAGTTCACTACAGGACGGATACCAAATGCAGAAACTTGTCCTCTTCCTCGCAACTTCCGTGCCCCCCAATTAAAAAATGATCTAAAAACCTCTCCTCTCCACGCTCAGTCTCTCATTCCCTTAGCACAGCCGATAGGAAGGTGAGTGAGCCCTAACCTGAGCGTTTTCGACGGATTCTTTTCCTTTTTTCTTTACTGCCGGCCCACTTCGCACCAATACATTCGCATTCGTGTGCAAGAGCCACACCAATGTGATCCTGGGGCATGCCTTTTACGCTAGAACAAGGTAGAAGTTTTCCGTGGTACATCCCACCAGACGAATGGTACGTTCATTTGTTGCACGTGTGAACCGAACCCCAAAATGTGTTGCGGTTTTTACCAGGAACGCGCCAAGTCTCATCCAGAAAGAGGAGAATGAGGCGTGGTCAGAAAAAACGCTTCAAAGAGACATTAGTTTTCTTTGGTCATATTTTCGAATCATTTGAGTAGCCTTCTTTGCGGAATTTTGACCTTGTATCAGGTGCTGTGTACTGTTAAAAAGTCTAAATGAGGGCGCTTGAAGGCACGCTCCGGGAGAAGGCGCACTCGCCTGTTCCATCCCCGGTGTAGTGGACAGGCGGACAAGCGTTGATTTCGCGCCCTTTGCGCGACAAAGGCGCAAGGAGCTCGTCCGACCCGCAACTCACACCTTCGTCCGCAAGCCCCACCCTCCGCTGTCGGTTGCCACGTGGCGCTGCTTGAAAAGCGCGGGCGCATTTGAGGCAGCGGTCCCATTGCGACCCAATGTCATTGGCACTGGAGCAACTAGAGTTAGGTTCGTGAAACTCGTCCAACGCGCCCCTTCTCTATCCCAAGGTGGAATGCGGCTGAAATAGGGGAGGTCTCTGTGCGGGGCGTAATCGGTGGTTTCGTTTGCTTTCCTTCTCTTTTCCAGACCACCTCCCACCTTTAGCTTCATAGTTGAACGCTTTTCCACACCTATTTTATCCCGAATATTGCCTTTAAGTGGCTTTCTATCCAGAACAAAAGTTGACTCTTCAGGGGGACAATACAATTTTGATGAGCACTTCGTAGAGTGGAGTGGAAAGTACTTTTAAGATGATATCACATTTCGGGTTGAGTGGTCTAACAATAAGGAAACGGTTCTGGAATGAAATGGAGTGAAATAGGGAATTTCTTGGTATTTATTCCTCATAACTATGAATCGATAAGTGCTTTTCTCCAGAATTTTTGCTTCGTGATTGAGCGCTTTGCACTAGTAAAAAGTCCAAAGCAGAGTACTAGAGTGGCGTCCTATACGTAGCAGGGGTGAAGCCTTTGAGTGCCCAGTTGGGTTTTTAGGTCATTTTTTAATTGGGGGGCACGGAAGTTGCGAGGAAGAGGACAAGTTTCTGCATTTGGTATCCGTCCTGTAGTGAACTGTAAGCTTCTAATCTCCATCTCTCCATCCGTAGTAGATCCAAACTTATTGAAGCACTCAACTGTAGCTCGCACAAACCTCTTGTCACTTTTACCTGACGCTAGCTGTAGCGTACCAGAACCCTTTCTCGATAAAATTTGAAGTGTGGAGTACTGTGACGTGGTTTCCTCTTTCATTGATGCAGAGAACAGAGGAAAGGAAAAGGAAATCAGAAAAATGGATATATTCGCATGCACACACTGTCAACATGATTTTGGACCACCCTGTATTTCGAATAGGATCGAATAAAATGAATGTGAGTGTAGCTGTCAAAAGGCTATTGAGCATTGCTTTCCAATAGTCATAAAATCATGCAGTGGGGTATAAAAGGTGTGGTGACCGGCAGTTTACCATCGCACTGAAATCCCATTCGAATCATGGAACGTTTCCTTTTCCGCTCTCGTCGTCATTGGAGTTACCCTGGTGAGTTCATGTGGTGCCTTATTCTTACAGCGATAAAGTGTTTGCTCAAACAATTCCTAAGAGCCGAAAAGAGATGGAAGAAAGACAAAATTCCCTTTCTTAAAGGCCTGCCATCCGGTGCCAGAACCAAAAAAGCATGGATTAGGGAACGAGACATCGAGTGTCGCACTGGTCACCCAGGCTCGTTACGATCCGAATCTAATCCAGCATTTCATGAACTACTTCCCACAGATGGATGTAAGTAGGGACTTTCTCACATTTCATTTACCGATTCACTAAGTACAGACTTTCTGGCCCTCAAAATTTGTTTCAGGTCGAGCAGCGCTCTAAGAAACTAGGAAAGTTCACCGATCTGGGTTCGGCAGACGTTGGAGGCAAATTCGCATTCACTTTCAAACTCCTTAATTCCGACTGTGAGAAGGTCGTGGATGGTTCTTGGACGTTCAGTAGCTTACAATACCGTTCTCTATACAGTGATATTTTAAGGTCTCTCATTGGCTGGACGATATCAAGAAGTCAGATTCAGTGATCGAGAGCACCACCCTGAAGTGCACTGGTCAACAGCAGTGAAGGCAACAGCAAGGGAATTGAGCCACGAGCTACACATCAATCATTTCTTCGTGGAATAAACTCCTGAGAAATCGTTGGCTGACAGTTCTAGTTCTGTCTGGCAATGTGTTCTTGAAGGGCGGAAGCGGTGTGGTGGAAGGTGGCGCCGCTTTCACAAACACGCTTCGCGGACCAGATCCTGGATTATAGGCCGTCTGGGTCAAACAAGTCTTCCATCCTTCTAGGGGCAGCAATGGTATTTCATAGGTATGGCAGAATAAGAGCACGGACACAAGTGCCCGTCGCAAGTTATTTGGGCCAAATACCAGTCAATGTGCCCCTATTATTCTGATGGAAGTAGAATGCGTGGTGCGCCCAGCAAAGGACCGACCAGCGCCGTTTGCTTTATTTGTACGCGTCATTGACAAGTACCGGATATTTTGTAAGCTATGTGCAGTTCCCAATTTCAGAACTTCCTTTCCTTTCCGAATGTTAAGCTGAAACTGCATGAAAACAAAAATCTATGAACCTTCTGTCACATGCGTCTCATAGGCGTGAAATTTGAAGTATGGCCCCACTGCTCCAGTTTGATCCGTCGAAAAACTGCATTCACGAAGCAAGGGTCAGTCGAATCATCACCATGCTGCAGGCATGGTATGTTGTATTCGAAAGGCGGGGGTGCGGGACTTTTGGCTCGTCCGGGGTTGCACGCGACAAAGCGCGCCAACCTACGCGGCGATTTGGACGGTTCACGGACTTTTTGGGCATTCCTCGATGATCCTACCGTGAATGGCTAGAGCAAAGACGATTAGGTAACGGCGCCTGGCTCCGCTCCAAACCTGGAGGAGAAGTGGGAGCCCGAAGACTAAGCCTTTGGAGGGGGAGGGACTCTGGGGTGGGTGAGCCAATTGCAGTGTGGCAAGAGTATGAATTTGTGAAATCACAGTAGTCAGGGGCCGCGATTAAGGCGAGGGAGCGCAGGTGGGAACATTGAAGCAAGGCGTTGAAGGAGCGAATTCCAATAGTTCGTATATGCTAGCTATGATAGAAGTCGCACCCGCATCGCGGCTCAGTGAGCCGCGCCATTTGCCGCATGCGACCTCGGACGAGCCAATGTCCGTCGCCCAAAGAACGTAGGTGGTGTTGCAGGTTGCGCTGCATATCACGCACGCGGTTCAAGGACCAAGTCGTGGATCATGCGTCGCTCCTGGCCAACCAAGCCTTCCATCCCTCCGGGGTCGGTTAATTGGTACCAGACTTGTCTGGGAGGATAAAAACACTGACTTGTACATCGGCTTGGCTCTCGTAAGTCAGTTTGTAGCCGTATCGCATTCACAACGCCACTACAGTTCTGAAGCTACGACCTGAATGAAGATAGAGGGGTGCGCCTCGCATTCTTTTCTATGCAGAATAGCAACAGCGTTTTTGAATGCAATTTGGCCTATATAGGGATCTCCTGGAACCCATATATAGGTCCAAATTGCATTCGGTGTTATCTATTGTCAGTGGTTCCATTCTCCCAGACAAGTCCGATACCAGCTAACCAAACTAATAGCAATAGAAGGCTTGGTTGGCTTTGACGGCATAGGAACCAGGATTTGATCTCCAGAGCTTGTGCGTGGTAAACAGCGTCACCTGCGATCATACCATCTCTACTCTGTTAAGTGATAGGAGGCTTGGAATTCGGACCCCCTCACTGTCCCAACTAACTGTAGGCCTAGAAAGCATTTCAACGCTCATAAACTTAGGTCTTCAGGCAAATCTCTTTGTGGTGGGTAGGATAGAGCTGTCCACGAAAGACACATAAGTGCCATTCTGCTAGCTCGAAAATGTGCGGCAAGGCCAGGGCCCTATCAAGACCGCTTCGACCGCTTCCATTTTGCTTCATACGCAAAACATGTGTGCCTGCCCCCTATCAATCCGTTGTGTTCTTTCACCCATCCTCTCTTATTCGCGCTCACAGTCTCGTTGCTTGGGAAAAAAATGAGGACGTCAATTTTAGCGTTTTCGACAGTTTTTTTTCCTTTTCTCATTACCCTGCGCACGTGCAAGAACCGCATCAGTTTGACCATGGGGTGTGCCATGAATGAGAAATAAGTGCGCGGCGGCGCAACGGCGGCGATCGATCGACATTAACACGTTGAATCTCCCAAGTGCACATTTTTGCTTTCAATTCGAAGAAGATGGCCGTTCGTTGCTTCGAACTGTTTTCTAGCAACCAGCGTGGGACCATGATGATGGTTTTATAATCCCCTGGAGATGTATCATAAAAAACTTATGTTTCAGAATAGCATAAGGTCTTAAAAGCAGCCCCAGGGTAAATTTTGCGAAGCGCTCAATTATAGTGAAGATGGAGGTACGTAGTGGTTTGAAAACAGAAGAGAATGCAAAAGAATTTGCTGAAGCCATTCAATTTAAGAGTCTAAACATTTTGACATGTGGGTGTGGCACACCTTAGATTCAGAGCGAACATAGAAGACAGAAAACGGTAGAGCGCGCCGTACGAGAGAGTACAGAGAGGCGATGTTGCAGCCGACTGAATGAGCTCCGCCGATCGTCGCTGAACTGTAGAATTCATGAAACCCTAGCAACATTGTTGTGCTCTCCAGAGCGATGTCAACAGTGTATCGGTAACGTACGCAGCTAGCTCTTTCCTACTTACCAAAGGAATCACTCCATTGGTCTTCTCCCGAATCTTCCCTGGAAGTGCGAGGTCCTTAAACAACAACACGGATCCTTATCAAGACATCCAATACCTCCCACCCCCTCATCGATAACCATAGCCAACTAGACGCTCTCAAAAAAACCTTCCATTCCTCATTGAGATGGGGCAGACGTGCGGTTGACCATGGTTATGGTACGTCATGATCGTCGCTGTCGGGGACATTCAGATATGACGACGACAAAAATAAAATTAATACATCCTACTCTTTTTGGACGAGTCCAACTGGATCAAAACAAACAAGTGGAGTCAACAGAACTAACAACTTCACTGAAAAAAGACCAATTTACATTGGAATATTTACATTTACCAGGGCGTTCCAGAAACTCGTGCCACTTTCGAATAATTTTTTGAGTCAACATTAGCAGTGGGGCCATACTTCAGATTTCACGCCTATGAAACTCATGTGTCAGAAGGCTCACAGATTTTAGTTTTCATGCA